GGGGACACTAGCAGAAGGATTTACCCAGAACTTCCCGTGATTATGTCGACGGGCACCTGGTAAAAGGCCATTGTCACTGGAGCCGCCAGTGGGAAGGGAGAGGTCTAGCCAAGTCCCAGGGCGAGCGGACAGCAGGCCAGGTGTCCAGCCTCTGCGCTGGAGCAGGTGCCCAGGGAGGGAGCAGCAGGACCCTACCCCCACACCCCCAGGTCTTTCTTGGCATCCATCTGAAGGACCCTGGGAAGGATGGAGAGTCAGAACAGGGCCCCCTTGTGGCAGGGCGCTGCGCCTGGGCGAGGTCCCCGTGGTCCAGGCCAGATGGGCCGGGTGCCAAGGGAAAGGCGCCCCACTGCCGGCCCATGTCCAGGTCCATTTGCAGCCTTTTCTGGGCTGAGACCCCACCCCTCGGACCCCAAATTAGTAGTGGGAGGGAGCCTGGATTGTCAGTTTGCTTGAGCTCATTCCTAACACTGAGTTTTTTCAGCCTGGGTGTCTCCCTCCATCACAGTGGGCAGGAAGACAGCCCTGCCCCATCTTCCTCCCCCCGGCTTTCTAAAGCACTTTAAAAGTATGGCACCGGGCGACGCTTCTAAACCAGCGTGTGGAACTTGGGTTGCTGGTGGGCGCCCAGATGAAGGCTGGCCAGGGTCCTGGGGGCAGCCAGTCAGACGCAGACTGGCCACTCCCCCGCTGCACTGCCACGGTGAGGGTCACCCAGGCTGGTGGTGTCTGGGGACAGCCTGAAGCTTCTGGAAGGCGGCAGCCTCCACTGTTCAGTGTCCGTTCATCCCCCGAGCCCTGTGTGGTGCTGAGGTGCAGGGCTGGCCCCTGGGGGTGAGGTGTAATGTACGGGCTCCCCGAAACCTCACCATCCTCCTGACCCCTCGGAATGTCTGCATGGAAATGGAGAGAGGCGATATGGTAGCAGAGGCTAATCTTAAATGTTTTAAGAAAGTAAACCCTTTAAGAAGCAGAAAGTCCTAAGTGTGTTGGACAAAGGACAACTTCTTCGGAAGGGGGAGTCCACCGGGCTTGTAACGCGGTCTGGATTTGCAAGGAGGGGGTCGGCAGGGCTGCCTCGTCACCTCTGTCAGTTAGCCCTGGCCTGCAGTGGTCATGGCTGTGGGGGCCAGGGCTGGGACATGGGCCGTCCTCGGGAAGTGGACAGATACACGGTCGGTCTCCCGTGGAGCGCAGGGCAGGCAGCTGGCCTGTGGGTGGCCCCAGCACTGATATGCTGGCTTAACGGAATGGGGCGGCTCAGAACGACAGGGCTGGTGCTTTCCGAGCTGTGACCCACAGGCATCCGAGGTGTGCGAGGACGGAGCTGGAGCCAGACTCTGGGTCGGGGGTGGGCCGGCGACCCGCAGAGCCCTGCATGGGTCAGCTATGACCATGCTCACAGCAGGGTTTCCTCAGGGGAAAATCATCAACAAAGTCTTTGCCAGTGGAAGTGCCTTTTAAGTGCAAACTGGTGAGAGTATCCGGCTGGTAGAGACCATCCCCTCCACCTGCCACCTGCCCCAGCCCCTCTCCCCGTTCACCGCCAAACGCCACACCTCGGGCCTCCTCCTCGGAGCCCGTGCCATTCAGGGATGGCTGCTTTTTATTTTTAACCTTGGCATGTGTGATTCAAAGCCAGCTTAGCTGTGAACCTTCGAGATGGGAGCCGTGCCTTTTTTATTTTTTTTTTATAGCACATTTGGATTCTGCTAAAATTCTCAGCCGAGTCTTGGTAGGTTTTATTTAACAGCGAGCTCACTGACAGCTCCACTTCTGCCTCCAGCCCCCCGCTTCCCAGGGTCTGACACCCTTCCTTTCCCTCTTAATGTTTCTGAAAGAGCAATTAGCCGGGAGGTCCGGTTGTGCGTGGCCATTTCTGCATAAGGTAGTAGTCCTGCCCTATTTGGATGCCGCTGCCGTGACTTCCAGAATGTTTCTCTGTGTACGTTTCATCCTTGATGATCACTCGAGTGACACGCATTAATTGCCGAAATGACGGGGATTTCTGGGATCCTTTAAATCCCATGTTCTCACTTGGTTCTCGAATCTCACGAGTTGGGTGGCAAAGGAGATGATGGTCTTCCCTCTGCCTGCTGCCCCCCTGATTTTACAGATGTGAACGCTGTAATCCCCAAAAGAGAGAGCATCTGGAATAGGGTCACAAAGCAAGCTGGTGAGATTCAGGACCAGCCGTCACTGGCATACACTGTCGCACAAAGACTCACACACGCGTGTGTTGCATGTGTGCGTTGCCAGCCAAGTGCTCTAACCACGGCCCCACACGGCGCGCCATCAGAAAGCTGCTGTCCACTGGGGAGATGTGGCCAAGAGCCCTCGCGCCCATCATGGGGGACGTGGCCTCCGAGGGCGGAGGTGCAGAGCTGCTGGCAGCCGGTCTCATATGGCCTGCCCACGGCCACGGCCCTGGGGATAAATTCCTGGGCCCAGAGGCCCAAATTAGATGGAAAATTCAAGGCTTTTCTCCCGACCACACGGAGACTTCTTTCTGTGGATGAGAGGGGATGAGCCCGGAGGTGGCAACCAGTGCCGGAAGGCAGGGCGACACAGCCAGAGAGACGGGGGACGGAGTCCACCTTCCTCGCCCCCAGCAAGACCCCCTCTCCCTCCTGGGGACCAGCCCAGTTCCAACCGCCGAGGGGAGCCTGCCCTCTGCGGTGGGACCCTGGCCTTAGGCATTCATCGAGGTCCCCACTGACGCTCGCCTCGCCTGTGCATCTCACCTGGCTCCCTTGGGCCAGTGTCCTCCCCGCGGCAGCAGCTGGGCCTGGAGGGGGACTGGCTGGCAGCTTGGCCGGGTGGACAGTGAGACCGGGCTGACAGGGGAGCCGGGCTGGACCGCTGTCAGAAGGCCGGGGGTGGGTTGGATGCCGTGGTCTGGGGGTCCCCGGCATGACAACCGCGGGACGTGGTTTTGAAGAGTGAGCGAAGCACTGTGTGTGGAGGCACATCAACACACGGCAGGAAACCTGTCGTGGCCACTGTCCCCGCTACCAGCGCTTCCGTGGTCACCACCAGGACTGTTAGCGCTGAAACCACCGGTTTCTGCCCTTGCTGCTGTCACCAGACAGGGCTGAGGGATGTGTGAAGTGCTGGAAAAGAGTTTCATGACAGGCAACGTGGGGTCCTGGGCCCAAATTCTCCCTCTGGCCCTGCTCCAGCTCCATCCCGCCCGTCTTCCCCTCCGCCCCTTCCCCAGGGCTGATGAGTCACTTCACATGCTTGGGCGTCAGGCTGCTCACCTTTAGACTGGGAGTGGTGCCCGACCTGCCAGCCATCCTGTGAAAAGCAAGTCGGCCCGTGTGTGTGAGGACACAGCTCCCGAGCTCAGGTCACATGCACGGTGTTCTCATCCTCTGGGGCTTGGGGGCGGGGCAGAACATTCTAGTCTTCATCTTCTATAAAGAGATGTAAACTGGGCCTTGCCCAGTCATTTCGAGAATCTTAGCGGGGGCTGAATTGCGTGTGAAGTGTTGTCCTTTTGGCCAGTTTTCGGGGATGGGCCGGGGGTGGGGCAAGGGGCGGTGTGCGGAGGAGGTGAACGGCCTCTGGAAGCACTGAGATGCCAACAGGACCACGGAAACACGTGGCCATCGACTCCGTGCTCCGGGGTCGGCGTCTTGAAGGATGAGCTTGCTCTCTGAATTTCAGACGCCACTTCCTAACCCCGATCACTTATTTGTTCAACGTGGGTGGTGTTCTTGGGGTGGCGGAAGGCAAGGGAGACACAGTATTTGCCCTGGAGACAACTGTCTAAATAAGAAGGGGGTAAAAACACAGAATATGGTCTGTCACCTTACCCGACCCGGCTCATTTGATCAAGAAATCAATCTAGAAGGACAAACTTTAGGAAGGAATAAAACCAAAGGCAGAGGCGAGGGCCAGAGCTAACGCAGGAGGCTTTAACCACCTTTAACAAAGTGACCACCACAGGACACGCAGCGATCCGTGCTGGCCGAGCGTGCGCAGACGCGTGCAGCTCACACCTCACACGCGTGCACTCACGCACGCGGTCACGGTGCCCGTGCAGACACGTCTTCAGAAGGAGTTGTTCCCCCACCTCTGTCCAGGAAGACGTCACACACGCCGGCTAAACGACACCATCGAGCTCCTAACCCCCCGTTCTCGTCACGGCTCTCTGTCAGCCCGGAGCATGCTGGAGAGTGATGTTGATTCCTCCACGGGTGCTGAGGGACATTCGGCGAGCCAGCAGAACTGTCACTGCCCAAGGAGGCTTTTTGAAGAGCTGGCTTCACTCCCCCTGGAGCTTAGAGGGACAGCGGAAGAGCTTGCGATGAAAAATTAAAAGAACAGAAAAAAAGAATGGGCTTCCCCCAAAGCCATTGGCTAAGGCCGTTTGGACTTGTTAACACGGGAAGATATCACTCACCATAGCTTCTAAGAAGCATGTTCTCCCCACATTTTAATGTCTGTGCTGTCGGGACGGCTATGACGCTGGGTGGATGTATCTCGGCTTCAGGGAGATATGCTGCTTCCACACCGGATAGAAACTCTGACGCCCAGAGGTGGCCTCCGCCCGGGGGCCCACTGGACCTGTGCTGAGTGCCTGACACGGCGGGGAGCCCCCAGACCCTGCGTGTGTGTGCAGCCAGCAGGGTCTCTTCTGATTGGTCATGGAGCTGTACCGATTTTCGATTTTTGATTGGCATCCATGCCATCCCCCTGACAGCGTCTGTCCTGAAATGAGAGAACATGCGGGCTGACACCCACCAGATGACAAGACAGGCGGTGGACACGTGCCCCGCAGGCTGCTGGAGGCGCACCCCTGGCCAGTGGGGGCGGAGCCAGTGCACAGCAGGTGCTGGGACCTGGGGGCATCTGCGTGCTGGCTGGGAGAGGAGCCCCCTT